GAATTTCGAGATGGTGATGTCAGAGTCTTAAACCCAGTGACTGCACAGGTAGCGAGCCCCAGAAGCTAGCCTTATACCAAGCTGTCCCTCATCAGCACCCCAGGAAGTTGATCTTTGAACAGTGGCAGTTGAAATGATGTGTGGTGGGTTACATTTTTTTTTTTAAATATGCTGGGTTGCTTAGCAACTGCCTAAGGACCTGAATGGGCTGACTTGCAAGTTTAGATAGGCCATCTTGAAAGTCTAAATTCATGGAAATCTTCTAGTAGGCTGATAATTTTCAAGAAAAAGTAATATAGTGGGAGATAGAAATGGGGAGGGCAAGAAGGAACACATTTTTCTACTCTTATAACCCAGTGGCTAGCTTGTCATTTTCCCTGTTCAATCATCTAAGAATAAAATTCTTCATAAGTGAAGTAAGTGTGAAAAGGAAATTCCAGCTTTGTCAGAAATACTAAAAACATATATTTTTTTCCTTAGAGGATAATGAAAATGTGAATTAATCAATATTTTTTAGCACATTCATTTGGCAATTCAAGGGTGGAATATCTGAAAATTGATTCACTTTCACTGAATATTTAAGTACCTACCACATAGTAGAATACAGAGATGAATGAATAAGAGACAGTTTTTATTCTTAAGGAACTTACATAAGATGATGTGAGGACATTAAACTAAACTATAAGAAACAATTAGACATCAGTACTACATGTTTAATGAACGAAGTCCATAACCTCTCTTTCTCTCCTTGGTATTTTACAGGGTCCTTGTGCTGCTGAATCCGAACCAGCTCTTTTGATCAGGAGCAAGCAGTTCGGACTCTCAAAAAACAGTCACATTGCAATTGCATTTGANTCTTGTTTTTTTATCTTTTTTGTGGAGCAGAGTATCTGTTTTTTAAAGATTTTTAAACCTTAAAGGTTTGACAATTTTATAACAAATATTTATTAGGAGCCTATGAAATTCAAAGGTGAAGAAGACAATACCATTACTACCCAGAGTTGTGGGGCAGGGGCAGGAGTTGAAGAGAGAGAGAAGCTGAGAAGCAGAGAGATTTGAGAAAGCAGGTATTAACATAAATCACACAGTAAGCAAACGTGTGTGGAGGTCAGGCAGGATAAGTGCTGAGTGGGCTGCAAACAGAACCCACTAGCTTTCAAAATTGAAAACTGGAAGCGTGGCAGGGCCATACCATTAAACTCCATCCAAACAAAATGGTTAGCGGTACCTAGCACTGTGAGAACAGATCCATCAAATGCAAATTTTAATGTCACCACACTCTTGTACTTAAAATGTTTCAACTGAAACAATATCAAATAATGATGACATATTTACGACATTATGTGAAGTGTGGAAAACATTTTTTAATCAGAATTTACACTTTTAAGAGTGTATTTAAAAATTAAGACTTCCAAGTTAATTCCTGAAGTGGGAATTATATATATATATATGAGTCTCCTATTTGTTTCCGCACAGCTGACAGAAATGATCCCCTGTTCTCAGGTTCCTTCATTTTCTTCTTTTCACCATCACACCCCTCCCCCCCAGCAACTGGAAGCATGAGGACAATTTCTGTACTCCAGGAAAATGTAAGAGTATCTTGAGAAATTCCTGCCCTGTGAAGTGGATTATGTCAATACTACTATTAATAGATGGCAGAACGTCATAGATCAAAGAGCATTTTATGCATATTATGCTAGTGTGGTAGCATCTTGTCTTTATACTTCTCTCTTATTGTTTCGTCTATTTACCGCTGAATACACCATTTCTACATATTCCACCTGTGGATATTTCTCATGGAGAATGGTGGTGGGTGGGGGTAACTAAGCATCTGGACTTCCAGTATTACAGACATTTGTCGAAATGTGACAACTTCTCTGCAAGCATATGCAGTGTTTATACCAACTCTTTACAACCAGCATGGCTTGCATGGATTTGTAAACAGCGAGCTGACTGCATTTTTTTTTACTTCAATTGTATTAGAAAGTTGAACTTAGAACCTCACAGTTTAAAATGTGAACACTGAGAAGAGCAATATAAGTAGCCATGAAGAGTCCTTGTGCTATTAAGGGTTCTTTGGGAGTGGGAAGAAAGAAGTGGTCAGAGAAGGAAAGAATACACCCAAAGAATGCTATTTACCTAGCTTTAATGCTACAATTTTAAAAGCTAAGTGCAGTGCAGGCTGAAGGATAAATCAATTGGATACTGATGTGTATTTAAAGGGGAAACACACATTTTTCCATACCGTAAGCAATCTCTATTCAGGCGTTAGGGTGTAAATGTTACTGCAAAAATATCCAATACTTACCAAAAGAGCTCATGTGCAGAAAGTTAACATAATTCAGTTTCTCAGTAAACAGCTTGAGTAGGGATTTTATATTTCAGAACACGAAAGTCAGCGCTGCAAAAAGTATCTTCCAACTCAGTATTCATCCATATAGAAGAGCATCACAAAGAAACACCTAACTTCTCAGATGTGATTTTAGCCCACATTTGTTACAAAGGTTACTGACTCATGAAAGAAGAAAATGAAGCAATTTTTATAATCATTTGTCATTGGGTACTTTCAAGAACAAAGATGCCAGCTGTGATAAATGCAATTTAAATTTCTGCTCTGTACCAATCTAAATCCATGGAAGGCTTATCCACCCGTCATATACTATCCTGAAGCCAATAACTCATTTCCAAATGTCAGCCAACAACCAGCAGTTGGAAATGACCGCAGCTTTATCCTGACCTGAAATGAAATGAGTGACAGTGTGAGGGTGAAAAAGTTCTCACTTCATCACTAATCGGCTGCACTTGCATAAACATGGCTTTGGGAAGCATGGCTTCCTTCAGAATTCTCTCCAACCACGCCATGTTCTAGCCAACACAGACAGACACCGCAGCGTTTAGACTCCCCACCCCAGTCCGGTCTGCCCACAACTTGTCACCTGCCAAGCAGAGGCAAATAGGAAGCAAGCACATAGTGTCCTGCTTTCCTATCACGTTTTTCCTCCCCATTTGTACTTGTAGTACTTTAGAGTTCCCACAAGGTGGCAGGATTGTAACATGTTGAGATTGATGAGCCTCTACTGAGAGGGTTTATTATTATTGTTGTTGTTTTAACACATTTCAGAAATCAGTGTTTCCAAAATAACACGGGTAGAATATCAAATCTCTGAATATGATGCCTCCCCTCAAGCTCACATCAGCTTGGAGAAAGATTTCTCTTTCAACAACCATTCTTAAAAGGTTCTTAAAAATTAGACCCTTCCTCCTACCCCTCTTTGGTAGATTAGATTTCCATGAGAAGCAGGATTGAAAATGTCCTTATTGACAAGATCATTTGATTCTTGGGCAAACCACAGGATACTTTCTATTCCATCTCATATGTTCCCCTTTAAAATGTTAGAAGGAAAAAAGACTCTTGAGAGGCAGGGCGAGCAGCTCCGCCCTCTGAGGGGCCTGAGGGTGGAGGGAGCATATCAGGCACAGCAGGCATAGCTCTAGAAGCACGCGATCCCTGGTTTCAGATTCACCCAGGGGAAGCGCTGCAAAGCTGACACGCTCTGGTGTCATCCCCTTTTAACCAAGGGAGAGGAGAGATCCAGACTTGCACCAAAAACATTACCAGATTAGAGGCTGGGGAATTGTCTTCCCATCTGAATTCTAGAGTAGATACATATAAGCCCTTTTATACTGGCACTTCTCAGTCCTCTTCCAACTGCCAATTTTATAAAGGAAGATGATAGACGTTTTATTAAAGCAATATCCATCATACCCACCCTGTTGCGAATCGAGGGTAGCAAACATCAATTTGGGTGTTCTTAACAAACAATGAATTCAGCATAATGGCTTTATACTTGGAGGTTACCTAGTAGTGGTGATATCATTCTCTTGTGTAACACCGGTCAATCGGAGAATTTTATTAGCTGCTGTTTCCACCTGCTTCTCAAGATCCGCCTGCTGCAAAATTGCAGCCGAAGCCCCTCCAGGGGGCGCTCTTCCTGAGTTTCAAATGGGTGTATCATGTACAAAGTCCTTGTCCTTTTCTAGTCAAAGGATTTCCTAAAGTAATTGTAGCGGGGCCTTTTTCGTCTAGGAAGTCTGATAGTATGTGACAGAGAACTGCTGCTCAGCTCAGGACCAGTGTTGGAAATATAATACCTGTCCAGTCTGCCAGCAAGCATGGTGTTCAGTCCACGATGCCCCAAACATATAAGGACAAAAGTTCTCCCGGACAAACAGCTGCTACCAATATAATACTTAATCAGTACAACTGCTACTTTGAGAATGTAAACATTAGATTAGCAAAGTTATTTTATTTACTTGTAGTAACTAGATGAGGGTCCACAACAGTAACAATGTAGAAATAACATGCTGATCGTTTTCTTTTAGGCTGCACATTATTGTTCCTGAATTCCTCAGTGCCCACTGACCTTTTCAACCCCTCAGTTTTCAGAGCTGAGTGTTTTCGAGATATTTTAGCCAAATTCTGCCCCTGATGGACTCACACCCAGCAGGTAGAGATTTCTGAGAAGGACTGCAGGCTACTTATGTTTGTTGTGATGGTTCTCTGTGCAGAAAAATGCTGTCAGAGGTTGAAAAATGATCCCAATTCTGAAATAGCAGCATTGAAGGCTGAGACGTTAAGCTACCAAAGCCTTTCTAGCTGGGCTCTCTTTGCAGGCAGTGGAGTAAGAAAGGTGCTGCATGTTGATTCCAAGAGAGGCCATTCAGCTGTGTGAATAATTAGCATTTTCCTGTTCTACCCACTGGGTTTATGTGCATCTGGGTGAATTTCAGCAACAGTCTGCTCTTTGTAACTGACCATCTCCTGGAAAGCAAGGAGGGGAATACTACTTCCACGAAGACCAATTTTATAGCCTTTCAAAAACACTTAAAGCCTTTTACCTGCTGTGGCAGAGTGCTCCATTTGACTAAGCTCAAGAGAAAAGAGCAAGGCTTTTCCTCATCAAGTAAAAATTTCCTGTGTGCTGATGAGTCATCTCCGAGGTACACTATTTGGAAAGAACA